CTGTCGAGCGCCTTTTGTGAAAAAGTCATCGGCCCTAATCCATGGCAAATCCTCTATAGAAATGCGTGGTGTCGAATCGACTATTGTTTCGTTCGCTTTTAATTCGGATTCGGTCCTGTCTAAGCGGTGACGAGTCCTGCATTATTGAGCAGCATTTAGGGAACATGTTAGGTTGTGTTTTTTTTTCAATTGCATGCGCTTGTTCTAAGCAACATTGAGTGGGTAAAAGACCCGATAAGAGCGCTGGCTTGACGCAATGATTCATTAATAATCACCCAAATTGTCGATAATTAAAACTTTACTGCCGGTTTTAAGTGAACGTTGACTGCAGAGATAACCTTAAACGCCTTGAAGATTATGAACAGTTTGGTTTGGTTATTAAATCTTGTGTAAACATGTTTGGGCCTTCGACATAAAAGCGACTAGAGGAGAATAATGCTGTAGATCCAGGAGCATTTTCATTTGCACATGTTTGAACTAGTAAAGTGACGAAGTTGAAGGGTGCACCGAAAGCAGGCATTTCGCTCATCAGAATTCGTCGCCCGAGCGCCGCATCTGGAAATAATTGCTGAGAAATGAACAGAGAACAAACATGACGTGTCGGTCCAGTAAATTTCGTTCAGTAATTGTTTACTGGGCTTTTAGTGCCATATTTACTATGTGGCCGACTTGATATATGGGAATTTAAGTGGAAGATTTATCTGTGTTTTTCTTCAGAGCGTCTGAATAATTTATTTTTATTTATCTCCAGCTCGCACCGCGCCTCCTGCATATGTATATCATACTTCTCTAGATTGTTCGTCTTTCTCGCGAGTTATAAACCCTGTAATCAATTGGTCAACGAAGTAAATGCTTACCAATTGTAATCTTAGTATAAGTTCAGTTATAAGTTAACTCGTCGTTCTGAAAATAAATCTTTTTTAAAAGGTTTTCCCTGGATCGAAGACTTTAACTAGCGCACTTATTTACTGAACTTATCTGCAACTAAATAGATAAGATTGCAGCAAAAACAATGGGTTTTTGCACACCGACCCGATTTATCAATATTTGCTGATCGATAATCGATATTAATGGGAACTGATGTAATTCGAATTTCTTGCAAAAACCACCTAAAACAGCCGACATGCACGACCGTAAATTAGCCACAAAGTCACGGTTTAATACCTCGGCCGGGACAGTGAGTTCATTATGGCTCAAAGCTCCCTGTCAGCCGGTAGGGCTTATTTATGGGCCCCTACTGAACCCACTTGCTGGGCCGAAAAATTTTAATGGCATTCTTCAGCCATCATCAAACACACATCGCACCAAATGCGAAATGGGCAACATTTCCACCAACATTTTCCAAGTTTTATGGGGCGCAAGATACGATTGGATCATTAATTGAAACCTAAAGCAAACAAAAAAAAACAGTTTTCGGTTTAAATGGATCAAAATTTGCTTCTTAAAACGCCCAACTGATGAATGAACAAAGACGAAAGGACGTCCACGTTCGAGTTAGACAAGAACCCAAACATAGTTTAGCAGGTGTCGCTGTCGCAGTGACAACTAGGGCAAAGCAAAAGAGAGACGAAAACACGTCCATGTTCTAGTTAGACAAGCATCGACACATAGTTTAGCTGGTGTCACTGTCACAGTGACAACCAGGACTTTGGGGCTTTTCGACTTGGGGGACAAAGTAAGGGAAGCTTTGCATTGGCTCTGGATGGAATCTGACTCAATTTTGCACTTTTGGGAGTCAATTTTTGAGCTTTTTCGTTTTATTGCGAAAAACCCAGACGATTCTATTTTAGAAATGAATTATCAGTTAAATTATTATCTAGTGATCTAGATCTCTGAGTGAACATCAGAGTGAAAAATCCATCGATTCTCTCACTTGGAAACATGCAAACTTCTTGCCCTTAACATCAAGCATCCGACCATTCGGGAAAACACCGAAAACTGATGTGGAAAACTGAAGTGGGGTTATGATTGAAGTGAGTGTGCGCATTAAAACGGCTATAACTATTTGCATCATTATCGATTGAAAATTTTTGAACCTTATGGACGAATGTATAAATTGAATGCGTCCAATTGAAGTGTACACAAAAACGGAATCATTCGCTAGGAGACGACGTCAAGTTTGGCGATTAGTTGATTGATTAGCTCGAAGCGCCAAAGATAACACGTCAAGCTACAAACCATTTATAACAATGATTTCAGATAATCCGATTGATAAGACGATTGAAAAACAATTTCACACACCTCATAATAATGCATGAATTTTTGAAATCAGAAAAGGAACAGCTGTGCTCAATTTCCACGGGCGCAAGTGAGAAAATCGATGGACATTTCAGGTTGACATGCTGTAAACAGTTGTCACTGTGACAAATGTCACAGCATGTTGGGGTCTTTGTCTAACCACAACGTGGACATTCTTGCGTCTTTGTTCCTCTTGCGTTGTTCCAAACAATGTATTGCGTTGTTCCAAACAAAACGTATCAGTTCAGGGTATTAAGAATTTTTGACTACGCCAGTCGTAGGGAGTTTATACAGAGCGAGCCCAATTTATTGTGATTAAAGCAGATTTTGCAAACGAAAAACACCGCAAACCTAGTGAATACGATAAGTAAAATATTGCAAAAAATCATCCAAAAGTAGAAATGAATCATGTTGGGTTGTTCTCGAGTGGCACGAAACACGATCTCTTTACCGAGAAGACAATTAAACACTTAAGTAGACGGGAAGCAACGATTTATGGCCAATTAGGCCGAATTTAAGCCAAGATTATCTGGAACGCAAAGCCCCACAGATTTAGGAACTACGCCCTATCGTCTCTCTAATAATCGTTCGGGTATTTTTCACCTAATTAAAACCGTCTGCCACTGTTTTTACTTCGATTGTCCCCAATTCGACTTTGAATGTTGCGGCGATTTGATTCGATACGGAGCCGATTCTCCTCCAAAATCGTTCACTTTTCTGCGGTTTTGCTCGTGTGAAAATCAACGCAAAATCCACGAAACCGCTGTTGGGGAATTAATTTCATGCTTTCCGGGTTCCCAATAATTCGCGTTAAAGTGTGACGACGGTGTCATCAGCATCAGTAAGGTGGAGTGCGACTTACTATCGGCTTGCTTTAAAATCCAGGATTTATTCAATTTTTTTTCGCTTTTTTGGTCGATTTATTATCGATTCACAACGTGCCATTTACGTACTGTCGTAAAAAATGTACGTGTATGTTGGCCCACTTCCTTGGGCTCCTTCACACGCATGCAGGTGTTTCATTGTTTGAATTCGTGTGGTTTTTCTTTTCGAAGGACCATAAATCATTCGTGTCGTTAAAAAGTGACACTTTCGGCAGTGTTTTCACGTGCTTTTTTCTTCTCTAATAATTATCCCACCGTTTCGATGTTGCCAGGTTTCCCCCATTGGGGAGCTTTGGGAGTTCACTGATGCAAATCAGCCCTCAAACCAGGATTGCCAGATTTCTGTGCGATGTTCTTGCAGATATTCGCGCAAAGCATGTAGATGATTATGCGAATCGCCTCTGAAATAATCCTCTGTTATACCCCCAACCGGCTTTTGAAGCCAAATCAGTGAATTTTTCTTCAGGGGACTTATTTTCGCTTGTGAACTGTTACCTCCTGTCTCTTCAGATAGGTGGTAGATATCCCAGTATTAACTGGTGGATGTGCCAACGCTGTTTTTGAAGTGCATCTTTGCATCGACCACGTAGAACAACACCAATGGGCCAAAACTCCCTCTTGAGAGATTCTCAAGAGGTTCCAGCCAATACAGGCCAGACTAAACAAAACTAGCTGGTTTCATAAATAAACCCTCAATTTGCCGGGGCTGACAAAATATTATTTATTTTTCCAGTCCCATATGTCTGGGTTGCGGGGTGGGGGTGCACCAAAAAAATATATTTACGACCTCAAGCGATCTAAACAGATGACGCTAGTGGATCGGATGACTTAAAAGCGAACAACGGAAGGACTTTATAAGTTTGCCTCAAAAATTCCTCAAGTGATCGGGAGAAAATATTTGGTTCTTAGTCTGGGACGAACTTACATCTGTCGATGGACGCTCAAAAATGGAAAATATTCCTCAAAATCCAACACTGAGACACAAAATGTTCACTTCCAACTTAGAAAATTCGTAGGTATGCGACACTTTCGAGCGTGTTTGAGCGTGTTCAGTCGCGCAACCGTTTACGCACGACACTAACGCAACTCTTCGCACCTACTGATCGACTGCCGAGGATTTTCCATCGTTTCGCCGCCAATGGGCGAGCAGCGCCCTCCCCACTCCTGCCTGGATCGGCGTCACGACGCTGGCCCCACCACACAGCGTCAGCACGCGTCAGACCTGTAGCTGAGCAACTATCCAGATACTTTTTAGATAGCACAGGTATTGATTGAATCTGGAACATCGAGTTTTTCCGGTTCTTCAGTCAAAACCACTTAAAAAAAGTGAAAGCCGAAACGTTGTTTAGGAAAGTCTCAATTTTTGCCTCTGTGGAAAGCGTTAAGTCTGTCGACTGCCGGCAAATTGTCTTTATTGCATGGTTTGGAAGCTGGGCACCCAAAAGTTGTCATAAAATTGTGAAACTTTGAAGTGTGACATGAAACCCGGCGTTGCCATATCAACGAAAATGTCCGGATGCATTGAGAAAAATCTAGTGTGGCACTTTAGCACAGTGCATGTTTGAACATGAAAGAGTGGACGATCTCTTGGAAGTTCTTTTGGGTCTCAAAATTTGTTTCAGTGAAAAAATCAATGAGACTGTGGAAACAGAAAATTTCCACTTAAACCCCCTGTAAAGTTTGCGAAGACACTGAGGCGTACAAGCTCAAGTAAAAAAATTCCCCCCATTCAAACCTCAACGAGTAGAGGCTTGAAATTTAGGTAATCTATAGACAACCCCCGGGTGGATATGGGGAAGAAAATGTAATAGAAATCCAAAACCTGTCTGATTTTTTAAAAAATTTCAAACTGAAAACGCGTTGGTTAAGGTTTAAATCTCGGATATCTCGAAAACGGCTGCATTTTCCGGTTGCCATCAAGAACACCTTTTTTGTTCGGAATTGTTGGGGGAACGAGAAAAACCTGATCGCACTCCCGTATACAGAGTGGCAAGAAAATTACAGCCAATTGAATATAGTATTTTTGGGATTCAACGCGGTTTTTTTGGGCCTCAAACTTTCGCCCTGTTTGGTAAGTTGTGAAAAATCGACGCAATTTTCAAAATTTTTCTAATTTTGACTGCCTAACATTTCGAGCCTTTTACATAAAAACGCCAAATCTCAGTCCTCAATCTGCCAACAAGCCACGAGCGTTCGATGACAATTTTTGTGGTGACAAAACACAGGTTTAAATACGGCGCCAGTTTTTAAAGCCAAATTGGATAAATTCCCAAAAATGAACGGAAATTTGTTCAAAAGTGAAACTTTGCACCCTTATTATTTCGGGTCCGAGACCCGAAAAATCAAAATGTTCGTTTCTTGTCTCTTCTGGTTTATTTTTTTGAGTTTTTAAAGAGACCTTACTTTACTGTAAGGCAGGAGTCTGTAAAGAGAATGGCGACAAATTCCCAAAAACCGACGCAATTTTTTTCAAAACTGGAATTTTTTGTTCTGGATAATTTCAGTTTCTTCTGCGCAAATCCAAATTTTTTTGCCTGCCATTCATTACATTTTATGAATTTTTAAAGATAACTGCTCATTGTAAGGCAAAAATTGTTAAAGCAAATTTTGAAAAATTCTTAAAAACCAACGCATTTTTTTTCAAAACTGAGATTTGTTGATCTCGATAATTTCAGTTTCTATTGCGCAAATCCAAATTTTTTTGCCTGCCATTCATTATATTTTACGAATTTTTAAAGACAACTGCCCATTGTAAGGCAAMMATTTTTAAAGCAAATTTTGAAAAATTCTTAAAAACCAACSCATTTTTTTTCAAAACTGAAATTTGTTGATCTCGATAATTTCAGTTTCTATTGCGCAAATCCAAATTTTTTTGCCTGCCATTCATTACATTTTACGAATTTTTAAAGACAACTGCCCATTGTAAGGCAAMMATTTTTAAAGCAAATTTTGAAAAATTCTCRAAAAMCAACGCAATTTTKTTCAAAACTGAAATTTGTTGATCTCGATAATTTCAGTTTCTATTGCGCAAATCCAAAWTTTTTTGCCTGCCATTCATTACATTTTATGAATTTTTAAAGACAACTGCTCATTGTAAGGCAAAMAYTTTKAAAGCAAATTTTGAAAAATTSTCAAAAACCAACGCAATTTTTTTCAAAACTGAAATTTGTTGATCTCGATAATTTCAGTTTCTACTGCGCAAATCCAAATTTTTTTGCCTGCCATTCATTACATTTTATGAATTTTTAAAGACAACTGCTCATTGTAAGGCAAAAATTTTTAAAGCAAATTTTGAAAAATTCTCAAAAACCAACGCAATATTTTTCAAAACTGAAATTTTTTGTCCTCAATAGCTGAAGTCKTTTCTATAAAAATCCAAACTTTCTTTTTCCTTGCCCGCCTTTCAGTCCATTTTATACATTTTTAAATACAACCGCGCACTGTTCAGTCGGCAGTTTAAATGCGAATTGTGAAAAATCCTTAAAATCACAGGAAATTTTTGCGAAACTAAATATTCGCCTTCATACCTAATATTTTGAGCCTCTTCCACGAAGATACAAAATTTCGTTTTTTTATCTTGCGTTCCCTTACATTCTATAAACTTTGAAAGAAAACCGCGCACTATTAAGTCGACAGTTTTTCAGCCAATTTTGAAAGGTTCTGAAAAGTTTCTGAAAATWATTTTAAAGCTGGMAATTTACAACCTGAGTAATTGGAGTCTCTTCTCTGCAAGTCCGAAATTTMTTTTGCTTTACCTGCCCTCGATTAGGTTTTATTGTGAAAAACTCTGAAAAATCGCCAAAAATTSGCGTATAAGTGAAATTTGGCACACTTAATAATTSGAGTGTCTTCTGCGAAAACCCAAMATTYCGYTTTTTCACCTGCTTTTGATTACATTGATTACATTTTTAAAGCGCACTATTAAGTCGACAGTTTTTACGCGAACTTTGAAAGGTTCGGAAAAATTAACGACCATTTCTCCAAAGTGCACTTTGTATTCTAAATAATTCGAAATTTTGCTCCSCTGTRCCGAAATACCTCMAGYYTCAAAAATGCAAAATTTCTTTGTCTTTCCTGCCATTGAAGACATTTTATGAATTTTCAGGAATTGAAATTTTACATCCCTAATAGTTCGAACCTCTTGTGTTCAAGCCTAAGATTTGAGCGACAATTTCGAAACAAAATTTAATTCAAAACCATCTAGAACCGACTTTAGCAAAGAATTAGTAACAACTCTGGGGCTGATGAGCATCGAAGATGATCTTTGGAAAATCGCCGATGCAAAAGAATTGATTTATGATTGTGGTCCAAGTCCAGGGAAGTTCAGTGTGCCTTTTGCTTTAAAAACAGTTGCAAAAAATTGCCTTATTGTGGCCGAATTTTCCAGCTAGCAACTGGCCGAGCTCCGACAGCGTAGAACTAACTAAGGGGAAAAAAGGAAGAATAGACGGTGTCGCTGAGGTCATTCTTTAAGCGGTCGTTAGACCGGCACATTACCTGAACCGCGCGCGATAAGACATCGCAAATACTTAGGCTTTGTTATGGACTTTTAATTTCGCCAATAACCCCGTATTTCTTCAAAACGAAGTCACGACCGGCTCATAAACCGTAAAGCGAAAAAACTGTGGAAGACTTTACGATGCCAACACGACTTGGCGGTTGACCCATTGAAGACGAACTGTTCCATCCGGTCACATCGAACTTCGCTTGATCACAAGGATTATGACGAGGGTGTTTGGGAAATTGCGTTCATCGATTACGAACGCTCAACCCTTTCGCGAGAAGGAAGCCAAACGTATTAGTTTTGGGTTGAATTTGTTCGGCCGAGCGACGAAGATGGATTAAACAACTGCCTGTCTAATGGCACTATTCAGAAATAACAAATTCCATCATCAAGTGGTCCAGACCCAACCGCGTTGTTATCGCGTTGTTCCGCTAGAACAGTTTTGAATATGCACGGCACTCCATCATGAATTTTAGGTGCCGTTTAAGGCAAATCGAAATTTTATTAGCTAATTTAGTGTGCATAACTTCCGGTTCAGGGCTCCGCCCTGAGGCGAACTTTACCGATCGCACTGTTTCGCGATGTTAAATTGTTACAGGAGCACGCCTCCTTATCTCTTTTGGCCGAATTCCTTCAGGAAGTCCTCCAAATGGATACAAGGGCTATTCGACTACTGACTTGAAGGCAGCGGGAACAATATTTGCACTGCATTTCTTGAAGATATTTGCCTGCGAAAGTCCGTTGCTGCTGCGCTGTTTCAGACTGTTAAAATTTGCAAAAATCCAGGTTTTTCGTGCGAATCATGATTTCCCTGTCCACCCCAACTCCACCGAGGCCACCCTCAATGCAGCTGGGGGAACGTGGCTGGAATCTGATCAAGTTATGGCCGCCCTCTTTTCTTCCGAATTAGCCCAGAAGGTTTCTGATTGATTCATTGAATTAGGGCTGATGCATTCAGCTCAGTTCTTGAGGATCATCTGACCGTGCCATGAGATGAGTCCTGCAAACAATGACGTCATCAGCGAAAGGCGTTTTCGTGCAGAAACCGGCTTATTGAATGAAACAGGAACAGACTGTTTGCTTGGCTGGTGCCACCCTCCGCTCAAACACACGGAACATTCAGCCAAAGGACGAGGTGTTTCGGATACATGTTGAACTTGAAAAATGATGTTTGGGCACGATTAAGACGTCGCTTTATCAGGGAATCGTTCGGTTTTTCTGAAGGCGTTCCATCTTTCGAATTATTCAGTGTCAAAACGTCGGACAGTCGAAGAAGGTGAGCGATTCTGACTGTTCCATCTAGATGGACGCATTTATGAGGCGATAACGGACTTTGTGAGTGGAGAACCAACAATGAAAACGGGATTTCATCATACTGTATACTGGGTGTCCCAAGAGTAGTTGTACAAAACAAAATATCGGGAGTTTGGCAGTTCAATCGCAAATGAAACATGACGCTGCTTTTTTCCCGTTTTTGCTCATTTCTCGGAGACAAAATGAACAAGAACGCTCATTTGTACGTCATTCTAGAGAGAAATAAATGACCTTTTTAGAAAGTGAACCATTGATAAGGAAATGTTGGCAGTTTCCTCAAAAAATGCTTGAATTCAAGAAGTTTTAGATTTGCC